AAACAATAATAATAACCGAAAATAGCCTAATGACCCAGACGGTCAGAAAACATGCACTCATCAATCATCTTGTCAGTGTGTCCTCTTATCACCTAGCCTGTTAAGACCGATCAACCACCTCGACAAGATAGAGGGCAATCGAAGGGACAGGTTACGGTGATTACTATTCATGTCCCGGTGATTACTATAAAATAGTAATCACCGTGGTTACTAAGGACAAACTGGGTATGACAAAAAAATATTAATTACCTTTTTTAACAAATTATATTTTAGGAAGTTACAAAAATATATTAACTACAGTTTTCTCTCTCTTTCTCTCACTTCCACAATCTCCAGCCAGATCTCTCTTCCTTTTTTTCTCAATATTTTTCTTGTTTTCGTTCCGCCGAACTAATACCGCTGCAACAATAGAACAATACCAATCCATTAAGAAAACACTACCAATGCACAAAACACCAATATCATTCGAGAAATAAAAACACTACAATTTCACAAAACACCAATACCATTGCAGATTTAATCAATACGAATACATGCAAATCAATACCATTACATGATAATCAATACTAGTGCAAAAAAAAAGAGAAAAACAATACCAATGCAAAAAACACTACCAGTACAGAAAAAGAACACTACCATTTCACAAAAAAAGCAATACGCTTATATGATAATCAATACCAATGCAAAAAAAAAAACAATACCAATGCGAAAAAAAACACTACTAATATAAACAAATCACTACCAATGCGAAAAATAAAGTACTAATAAAAAAACATGCATCTTGTTCTCTGGTGAGAGAGAGGGGGAGAAAGAGAAGGGCGGGCTGTGGCGGGGAGAGGCGGCGGTGGGTGGGGTGGGGAAAGAAGAAGGGAGGGACGGCAATGGAGTACGTGGGGAGGGGAGAGGTAGTTGATGGGGCGGGGAGAGGGAGAAGCGAGGGAGGGAGGGAGGCTTGGAGTCGGGAAGGGAGAGTGGGAGGAGTGGCCGGCAGTAGTAGCAGGGGCCATAGGAGGGCCGCCAGAGGGGTGAGAGGTGGAGAGGGAGAGCCGCGACGCGGCGTAGTTTCTCATGGAGAAGAGAGTGAGATATGTATGGTTTTAGGTTTGGGTAGAAGAGGGATATAGTAAATTATACATATAGCTAACAATCTGGAGTGCTAATATTTTTATTCTAAAATTATCTTTAATATAATTTTGACCGTTATTTAAAAAACATAGAGCTAATTAAGAATTTAGATGTAGGTTGCCACAATAGTTACTAAAAAAATAGTATTCCCCCTAACGCATTCCTCCGAACACTCGCCCAATCAGAGTAGTTAAAATCCTGATTTAAATCCTAAAATCCTATGCTTTTACGATCTTACTTACCTATTACGATTCTGATTTCACTATAAAATCTATGGACCTTAAAATCCTACACTATTCACGATTTAAATTCTTAAAATCTTTAAAATCTTACGATTTTACGATTCAAATCTTTGAGTCAATTTTACTTATTTCCCCTAGAATTTGCAAAATTACGCCTCTTTTTCTTCTCCTCCACCAACATCATCTAGTTCTCTCACACTAATCACCATGGACTATAATCAATTCACATCAACATATTAATCTCATCGATTCACCACCTCTTAACATTAATCTTGATAAATTGAACATTAACCTTGAAAAATTATCATTGTAAATGTTATGTGCTTTTGTGTTATTCATGATTTTCCTTACTAATATTATTCCGTCTTGATTTTTATATGGACCTTAAAATCCTACGATTTTACGATTCGATTTTACTATTTCGACCTTACTCCCATTTTCATTTTTTTACGTAAAATCCCGATTTTGACTACTTTGCGCCCAATATTCAAATGTATTAAGGCCAGGTTTAATTCATTTAGTGCTTTATGCCGGCTCAAGATAGGACCATGGGTTATGCACCCATCAATAACCAAATCTGGACCCTTCATTTAGAAAATCCAGATCCAAGGATGGAGAATTAAAGACTATTTTTATTTTCACTAGCTTTCTTAATTGACTCATATCTTTTTCGTTTTAACTCGGATTTTAATTTTTTTCCCACAGATGGAACGAGTTCACCGTGCTCTACAAAATGAGATCAATTTTCAATATTTTTTTAGGAAAAAAAAAATCTGGCCTCTCGGTACCAACTGCATACCATATGGTATCTTCTTCGCTTTTAATTCGTTTTTGAAAACGTTTGCACAGCAGGGATGAGTTCATCATGATCTACTGGATCTACAAATTTCTGGGTGAACAAATTACAGGACCAAAAAATACCACACAATACCACCCTGGTACGGGGTGGTATTGTATGGTATCTTCTTCGTTTTAATTCGTTTTTGAAAACGTTTGCACAGAAGGGACGAGTTCATCATGATCTATTGGATCTACAAATTTCTGGGTGAACAAATTACAGGACCAAAAATTACCACACAATACCATACAATACCACCCTGGTACGGGGTGATATTGTGTGGTATACAATGTTAAAAGTCGTAAATTACAATTAATATACTTTTACTATCATGTATTCAACCATCCTACAGTATTGGTTTGTTCATACCACCATGGTACGTTTTTCAAAACATAGGTATGCTTTTATTTCAATACCAGTCAATACCATATGGTATAGGCTGGTAAAAAATGGCTCAATTTTTTTGTTCGAAAAATATATTAAAGTGGATATCATTTTGAGAGCACAATTAATCTGATCTAACTGTGCAAAAAAGATTAAATTTCGACTTAAAAATGAGCGAGAAATCGTCCGTCAAAGATTAAAAAGGGAAAAATTAAAGGTTTTCCATGAAAGAGGGATGCTGATGTCATTCTGATGTGGACGGGTTACTCATGGTTACTCACCATAAGGTTATTGACCTGATCCATTCCCGGTCGCGATATCAGCTCGGAGTTATCCGCGCTCTTCCCCGGCGGTACGTAGTTGCTGGTCGAGATTGGCTAACCGATCACCCACGTCGCGGAGTTGCTGGCCAATGGCGTAGTCGGCGCCTTCCAAAGAAGAAAAGGTCGTGTTCTTCTTCGATGTCATAGCTCCTGGCTCTGTCGGAACCAGACTCTGAATACAATTGATGGGTGAGTGTTTCACGCGTCGGGTTTTCGTAAACGATAAACTAAGAAAAACTGAAAAGTACTGGTTTATTATTTTCTAGTGAATAAAATGTAGAGGTAAAGTACATTTATACGGAAAACACTACAAACCCTTCCCCTCCCAAATGCGGTAAAAAAAATCATAATCCAACTCCTAACCAATTACTTTCTCAACAAAAAATAATAATATCCCAAAATAACCAAAAGAATGTCCAAATAAACAATAATAATAACCAAAAATAGCCTAAAGACCCAGACGGTCAGAAAACGTGCACTCATCAATCATCTTGTTAGTGTGTCCTCTTATCACCTATCTTGTTAAGACCGATCAACCCCCTCGACAAGATAGAGGGAAATCGAAGGGACAGGTTACGGTGATTACTATTCCTGTCCCGGTGATTACTATAAAATAGTAATCACCGTGGTTACTAAGGACAAACTGGGTATGACATAAAAAATATTAATTACCTTTTTTAACAAATTATATTTTTGAAAGTTACAAAATTATATTAATTACAGTTTTCTCTCTCTCTTTTCTCTCACTTCCGCAATCTCCAGCCAGATCTCTCTTCCTTTTTTTTCTCAATATTTTCCTTGTTTTCGTGCCGCCGAACTAATACCGCTGCAACAATAGAACAATACCAATCCATTAAGAAAACACTACCAATGCACAAAACACCAATATCATTCGAGAAATAAAAACACTACCATTTCACAAAACACCAATACCATTGAAGATTTAATCAATACGAATACATGCAAATCAATACCATTACATGATAATCAATTCTAGTGCAAAAAAAAGAGAAAACAATATCAATGCAAAAAACACTACCAGTACAGAAAAAGAACACTACCATTCACCAAAAAAAAAGCAATACGCTTATATGATAATCAATACCAATGCAAAATAAAACAACACCAATGCGAAAAAACACTACCAATATAAAAAAATCACTACCAATACAAAAAATAACGTACTAATAAAAAAACAGGCATCTTGTTCTCTGGTGAGAGAGAGGGGGGGAAGAGAAGGGCGGGCGGGCTGGCTGTGGCGGGGAGAGGCGGCGGTGGGTGGGGTGGGGAAAGAAGAAGGGAGGAACGACAATGGAGTACGTTGGGACGGGAGAGGTAGTGGATAAGGTGGGGAGATGGAGAAGCGAGGGAGGGAGGCTTGGAGTCGGGAAGGGAGAGTGGGAGGAGTGGCTGGCAATGGGAGTAGGGGCCATAGGAGGGCCGGCAAAGGGGTGAGAGGAGGAGAGGGAGGGCCGCAACGCGGCCTAGTTTCTCATGGAGAAGAGAGTGAGATATGGATGGTTTTAGGTTTGGGTGGAAGAAGGATATATAGTAAATTATACATATAGGCATAGCTAATAATCTAGTGTGCTAATATTTTTATTCTAAAATTATCTTTAATATAATCTTGACCGTTATTTAAAAAAAATAGAGCTCATTAAGAATTTAGATGTAAGTTGCTACAATAGTTACTAAAAAAACTAGTATATGTATTTCTCCGAACACTCGCCCAATATACCAATGTATTAAGGCCAGGTTTAATTCATTTAGTGCTTTATGCTTATAGGTAGGTAGATATTATATTCATAGATTGTGTATTTTACTCTAACTATAATTACTTGGACTCCAAGTTGTAGTAGCCGAATGTAGTTTCCCCTGTAATTTAGTACCCCGGATATTTAATAATAATTATTAGTAGTAAATAGGAAATATAATATGTTAATAACTCAATTTTGTATTTCTGTTTTCACATACTTCTGAGTTCTGATTAGTTTTTTATACTTTTTTTTGCCAAATTCCTGATTAGCTTTAACGAAAACGAATCATAAATTCCGTAATTAAAGAATCCTCTTTCTCCTACCTCTCACTCGAATATATATAAGAAGTCAATACAAAGGGTAAAAACAAAAACGGTGAAAGAACAGAAAAAACCTCACTTTGTTAGTTTATATTTACCCCCGCCGGAAAAAAGAATGCGCCGCCACGGTTCCGACGATGACAAGTTCGCCGAACTCATCTACATCAGCGGCGACGACGAACTAAACGCCTCAGAATCCGACGATCAGGCCGAATTCGACAGCGACAATGCCGTAGACGATCTCCTTGACGAGCCCGAAACCGGTCTGCCGCCACAGTTGTCTTACTCCGTCTTGAAAGAATCCGAAATCCGCCGCCGCATCGACGAAGACGCCAGCCATCTCTCCGCCATGCTCTGCCTCCCGAAATCCGAAACAACCCTAATCCTCCGCCACTTCAATTGGGACACGAGCAAGGTCTCCGACTCGTGGTTCGCCGACGAATTCGAAGTCCGCCGCCAGGTCGGTCTCCCGACGGCACCTCAAAAGGTAACCCTCCCTCCTCCGTCCGATCGCTGCAGTCTCACCTGCACGATCTGTTTCGAAAAGCACCGTCTCACCTCCTTCCACTCCGCGGACTGCGGCCACCGCTTCTGCCGCTGGTGCTGGCGAAAATACATAAAGCAGTGCGTCGTCGACGGCCCCCGCTGCCTGCAATTGAGATGCCCTGAGCCTTCCTGCAAAATTCTCGTAGGTGACGATCTAATCGACCAAATTGCCGACGAGAAGGTGCGGAAAAGTTATTCAAATTTTGCCCTTAGGTCTTATGTAGAGAACAGCAGTAAAAGGAAATGGTGTCCTGCCCCCAATTGCGAATACGCCGTGGAATTTAATTCAATTGGGGAAGGAGACTACGATGTTTCCTGCCTCTGCTCGCACAACTTCTGCTGGAACTGCGCCGAGGACAAGCACTCGCCCGTGGACTGCGAGACAGTGAAGAACTGGTCACTGAAGAACGCGGCCGACTCGCAGAATGAGTTGTGGAAGAAGGTGAACACGAAGCCATGCCCGAAATGCAGCAGATCAATCGAGAAGAACGCTGGGTGTATGCACATGAGATGTGCAGCTCCATGCCGGCACGAATTCTGCTGGGTGTGCCTGGAATCATGGGTTGGCCACTCGTATTCGTGCAATAAGTACAAGGAAGATGGTGATCCTGCTGTATTGAAGTCATTGGGGGAAGAATTGAAGAGGTACCAGCACTACTACGAACGGTGGGCAGCAAACGAGAAATCGAGGCAGATTGCGGTGAGAGATTTGAAGGATGTGAGGGAGAATGTGGTTTTGAAGATTGGGAGTATTCACGGTGAGAATCCGATCCAGCTGGTGTTCTTGACTGAAGCTTGGGAGCAGATTGTGGAGTGTAGAAGGGTTCTGAAGTGGACTTTTGCCTACGGCTACTACTTGCCCACTGGAGAAGCCGCAAAGAAGCAGTTCTTCGAGTACTTGCAAGGGCAGGCCGACACTTGTTTGGAGAGGCTTCATGATTGTGCAGAGAAGGAAATGAGGAAGTTTGTGGCCCAAGAAAGCTGCACGAAAGAGTACCGTGCCTTTCAGGTGAAGCTGATTGATTTGACGAAGCTGTGCAGGACTTACTTCGAGAATTTGGTTCGAGCGCTGGAGAATGGGTTGTCTGATGTCGAGACCGGTATGAATGCAAAGAGACAGAAGATGAAGAATTGATCAACAAGCGCCATTCCTCTGTATAAAAATAATAACTGATGAGGGTTTGGTATGCCTTTTGTCCCCCTCTCATCTTCTTCAATTTATTGTTATCAGGTTACTATTAGGGTTCAAATTTTGAACATAATTTATGGTTATATACATGTAAAGCTACATGCTTTTTGGATTGGTCTTCGTTTAATCTAAAGGGAAAGGGTAAAAATGAATGAACTTTATGGCTATACATAATGTGGGGGGGGGGAAACCGAGGAATCCCTCGAGCGAGGTAGTTATCGATCTTCACCGCCAGTGTAGAGTTTCGACAGGAGGAATGTGGAAGCTGAAGAAACCAGAACAGCTGCAGCAAAGCAGGCAAGATCGAAGCTGGTAACTAAAGGTACGTTCTTGAACTTCTCGAGTAGGCCGACTTGAAGTATCATCATGACTGCATGGCCGATTTTCGACTTGGCTTGTGAAACAGATTGAGTTTCCACCCATGCTGGAAGGTACTGCAGAGTGCATGCACATATTTTGAACCCATTAGTTAACTACTCAAATTGAGTGTATATATGCGTTAATAGAGAATGGATCTTATTGTTCAAGTGTAAAGTTTATACCTTCAAGTGGAAGAGGCCAAATAAATTGGACTGAGGTAGCCAAGTCTGCTTGTCGTGTTGAGAATCCTTGGAGCCCACAAACATGGCGTGTAAGCCGACACCAAACACTAGCATGGCGGTTCCCACCAAGAACATGTCTGGTTTTACATTTGCCAAAAAAAACAAGATCCAAAAGCGGCATCCATGTTAGTTAATTTCATGGGGGTTTTTTTTTTTCCAGGTGTCCCCCTTTCTTTTATGATTTCAGAACTCTTTTTAAGTAACGGGAAAATAAGTAGAATACCTATGGCTTCTATGAGGAGCTTCATCATATGCCCTTGATCCAAACTTCTAGACAGAGTATGGAAGTAGTGAAAGTAGGACTCCGCCACCAGAAAGCAGCCCTTCAAAACAGGATTTGAATACATAATTCAGTTCCCTTAGCCCAATAAAAAAAAAAGGTCTCTATTTTTTGGGTTTTCTGTGACATACATACCTCCATGAAGCATAGTACAGAGCCAATCAGGGATCCTGCGACAGCCAAGAGAGCGAAGAATCGGCAGTCGAAAATCGCTTTCTCGATTGCCATCTGGATCCGAAACTTCCCCTGTTTCCTCTTCACCTCGGCGGCGGGAGGAGGGCTGAGCCTCACCATCATCAACTTGTTAACCAAAGAAGCCAAATCTATGTCGGACCATGGCACGGCCTCGACTTGTGCACTAGCCTGGGAGGTCTGATCAGCCGAGGACGATGCTGCAACAGCCCTAGCTGTCACCGAAGAATCCAACCTCCTCTTCGAACAATTTACGTTACTAATCGTACCCGAAACTCGATCCTTCGCATCTCCATTGCCACTAGCCCGAACCGAAAAGGAACGATTAGCGGAAGGAGAGGAGAGGTTGTGGAGTGGTCCAGCAGCTTTGGAGGAGGCGCGAAGCAGCCTTGTGGTGGACATTCTTTTGGGTTGGAAATGAAAGGTTTTGGGAGGGTTTAAAGGAGGGAGGGAAAGTTTGCTCTTCTTATACAGAGAATGAATGGAGGGAACGGCGGAGAAGAGAAGAGAACATTCGGCGGCATAATTTGTTCTCTCTCTCTCTCTCCCTGCCTTGTTGGAGAGGTTTCCATTGGTCGAAAGCTTTGACCCTCGTGGCTTTTTACCTTTTGGTGAAGAATGTCCCTGTTTGAGTTTGGTGTGAAGACTACTCAAAAACTGAGACGCGTTGCTCTGTGGAACTTCTTCTCAGCCGAACTCGTGTCCTGTCCTCGTTTTGTCTTTTCCCCCTTTTTCGCGGGCTTTTCAGATTTTTTTCCGCTTTTGGCGGTTGGCGTCGTGGCGCGGGAATCGTTTCTGCATCGTCGGTTTGGGGAAGGGTAGTATGGTAAAAGGGCTTAGTTTGGTCAAATTAGTGCTCAATCGGGGAAGGTACTCCCACGTGGGACAAAATAGCGGTCGAGAATGCACGTGCCAATTTTGTTTGGCGGAACAACAAGACAAAACAGAAACAACAGTGGGTGTCTGTCTTTAGTCTTTAGTCTTTCGTGGTTGTTTCGTTTCCCTAATCAATCAATCAAAGCAGCTGTTCTCGCTCGGAACTAATTTCCTTCCATTCCCTCTTACAAATGAGCGGTTAGATTTGCAGGTCAAGAAATTGCTACTCAGTTTCTTTGATTGCAAAACCACTACTTTTCCCTCCAGAAATTTCTAGCGATATTACATTTCAGCATCTGCCACCCTTTCAGCTAAACTGCCAATAAATTGAGCTGGCAATAAAAAAAACAAAGCATTGAACTTTGATTCTCCAGAAACCCTCTCTACTGATCTATTTCTTGCAACCCAAGTTCCTCCAGAAAGAACAAACCAGCAGCTGCTAAAAAAAACTAATCTAAATTCGCTAGTTGTAGAGAGACCGAAAATGGGTTTAGCAGACAAATAATCAATAGTTCTCAGCAACAGGCCTAGAAGGAAACAGCCTCATAAGAAACGTGATCAAGGACCAGAGACAAACCACACCAAGGAACTGGAAGGCCACCCCCACTGAAACCAACGCCTTAACTCTTTCGATCAGTTCAGCAGATTCAGGGAGCCCTTGCATTGAGAACAGCAGCCTCTGGATGAATTGAGCAGCTTTGGTCAACTGGAATAGTCTGTATACCTGTTTTCAACATATTACAAGTTGTCAAACTTACAGCAATATGAATGCTTGTTTTTCTCTTCCTTTTTATTTTAGATCGATAAACAGCTAATTACCTCAAAAATGATGGGTACTAAAGGCCAACAAGATGAACCTCGCTTCTCCAACCTGACCTCGAACACACGCTGGGCTATGCATCCAGCTAGATATGGGATAACAGAAACAGCAACAGGCACACCTAGCACCGGCCAGGTGACATAAACCATGAGAAGTGGTACTACGACCTTGAACCCCATGGTGAAGAATGCTGAAGTTATATAGCCTCTAAAGCCAGTGATAAGGCCCCATCTTTTCGAGCTGAACTCCAGGTAAGGCTTCTGCATTCGGTCGGTTATGCGTAGGAAGGTTGCTAAAGCAATGTAGAACACTGCCTCAAACGACAGTGAACTCGCCATCTCTGCAACAAACAAAGTTACGTAAACAATCACTCTGGTATTCAGCTACACAGAGCAAGATAAGCTCAAAAGTGGAGAATGGGGTTTCAATCATTTACCTACAAGAACCACATCCTTCAGGAGTTCCTCGACTGCCAACCCAAGGAAGAATTGGGGGAAGATCAAAGAGGATATCAGCACAACTGGCCCTAAAATCCAGAGGAAAGAGCCTTTCTCCTCCTTAAATGGCGCTGAAACCAGTTTCCCTTCTTCTACTGATTGGTGAGTCAATCCACAGAACGATACAGAACCCGATTTACCGCGAAACGGCTCAAACCCATCGTTGAAGCTTCCAGTAGCAGGCAGCCCAGAACCTTCCTTCTCCGAGAGCTTCAAATTAACATCCGCATGATGACTAGAACTAGAAGCACGTAATAAAATTCCTCTGTTCAAGCTACGCAATTCAATTCCTCTAAATACATTCTTCGAACCGGCTGAAAACAGATCGAGAAAGTAAAATGATGAGTTTCATGGAACATTTTACCAAAGAAAACCCAAAATCTATGCATAACCTACAGTTCGAGACGGTTCCCTGAGATCTCCCATATCTGGCCCCAAATTGAATGGAAGAAGAACCCTAGAAAGGGAAGATTAGAATCAGTCAATAGAAAGAACGAGGATTTTATCATTTCTTCGATTTTGAAAGGCAGAATCAGCAGCAACGTACTCACAATTCGACGAGTCGAGTGGTGGCGAATATGGAACCGGAGCTTGGGAAAGGAAATTCCGCCACAAACGGATTGCAATTCCATTTTTTTACCAGGTTGCTCGCTCCCCGAGTTCAGCGACTGAGAAAGCTTAAACCCTGAACCCTAAGTCCCGCTCATTGAATCGGGTCGACGCCCCTGTCAACTGGCTTGTTGGATCCGGAAACGGCCCAAATCTGTACCTACGCTATGGTCAGGCCCAGAGTTCTTTGAACTGTTGCTCTTAGTTCATGGACCGGGCCATAAACCAGGCCCGGAGATCCTAGATTTCATTAACAAGGGATTAACGGCATTTTGGACCTATCTACTAAACTAGCGTGGGCCCCGACCATTTGGCCGGAGGAAGGTGAGGTATGAAATTTGATAATGTAATGAGGTGTATAACTTATTGTTGTATAGTTTTTTTTGGGAAATACGTGGTAAAAATAGTGAATTTTAGTAGGAAAGCGACATGAATGATGTAACGAATCAAAAATTAGCCTTATGAACCAGAAAATCGTTTCTAGTTTTTACTCGTCCCGTTGGCCGATTAATTTGCTTGATAAAACTTTCCTCTTGTCATCATTGTGCTTTCTGGTTTTTTGCTAAGCCCTGATAAAATCTAAAGAAATCAAGAATGAACAACACGATTTGGGATAGGAACCACCGTTCCTGTATCCATAGAAAATGGTGGTAAACACGGACTCACCTGCCAAACTGGTTTGGATTGAGATTTTTATCGGGTATCAGGGAACCATGTGATTATAAATTAGACTTGATCAAAACGGGCCAAAACTTGAAATTCAGCCTGTTTGACCGACCCATGCCAAACTCTAATTATTCTTTACTATTAAACTTTCTATTTGAAAATAAAAAATAATGAAAGAAAAGAGACGAATGCAATTCGCCATTTGCACATCACTGATTCGGGGAATAAAACTATAGAATTTCGAAAGAAAACTGAAAATGTGTAGGATCGTTTTAATGTTAAAAATAACCAAATAGATCTTTCTGTTTAGTTTTTTACTAACAAATACCAAACGATTCCCTATAATATACACTATAATTTAATCATTATGATATCAAATAATTACATAATATATATTTGAAATGATAAAAATTGGACTAATTGGGTTGGTCGAGGTTGAACCATTTAATAACTTTAAAATACATTATATTTTAGCCACTAAGATATAAAATATTATGCTAGAGAAAATAGCTTGTTTTAGAATGACAAACCCATGATGTTCATTTGGTTTACTTGATGGGCAAATCCCGTGTAGGTCAGGCCCATTCAACTCTTTTATTTTATGATTGACGGTAAGCCCATTAGAATCCATGCATTAGTTTATTGTTAATTTTTTTTCTTTTTAGCAATAAAAAGGAGTATTGTTTTTGCCTTTTCATATATATTTTACCACCACGGAGAAATAAAAGGACTTAAAGAAAACAATGGACACCCCTGGACCCGTTTAAATCTGCATGTGTACGGTAAGTTGGCCCGTTCCATAGAGGAAAAAGAAAAAAATTGACACTCCCTATTCTACCCTTCCTACAAACGCTCCTGGAGCAGAGAATTTGAAATGGGGGAATGGTTTTTTTCCTCTCTGCGATTATATGCTTTTAATTTAAAAAGATACTTAGTGTGATTGGTTATGACCTTTGCTTTTCTTTAAAGTGGTCATGGTTCGAATCCTAATAAGTGTCTTTTTAATGAATAAAAAAAAGTAATTATGAAGACCAAAATGTCCTTCCTACTTTCACTCTGGATGCAGGAAATTTGAAATGAGGCTTCAAGTTCTCTCATTTGACTTTTATTTATTGTGTAGATTTATACCCAAATATACTTTTTTAAATTAAAACTTAACGAATTTACCCTTCTATCCATTTTTCTAATAAGTTGTTGTTAAAGGGATATGAAATGAGTCAATTACCCCTCATTTACTCTTAAATATTTCTAATTTTTATTTTCATTATTTTATCTCCCAATCAATAATTAAAAAATTAAAAAACCTAAACTAATTTACACACAGGGCGGTAGAAATCGTTCGTCTTCCCCAGAGCCGCCGTGGGGGCTGGTGTCCTCGTCTTCATCACCATTGTGTCCGACAGTTGTAGCTCCTTCTCCCAAGGAGCATTGGACGAGATTTGTGCTGGCGATGGTGGACGGTAGTAATACCAACCATCACTATAAAGCCCTTTTTTTTTTACTCAACAACCAGAAAGCTCGTCCTCCGCTGCCGCCTCTCGGTATTCCAGACGTCAGACCCTCCGCCGTCGCTATCGGCGGTGATGGATTCGGGAAGCTGGCCGTCGGCTTCTCCCAGGTCCGATAATGGTAGGTTAGCTATTGAGTCCGATGTAGATTCCATCGTCCCTCTCGTAAGTGATTTTTGGAGTGATTTTAGGGGAAGAGCTTGAGCTCCAACCAGGCGAGGGAATAAATCGTAGACAGACGATTTCTACAGTGTATGTAAATTAGTTTCGGTTTTTATTTTTTTTAATCTCCCGCAGTCAGTCTTTGGGGTTTATCCCCAGGTTCTGGTTCTGCCTCATCTGATAATAGAAAGTACCTCTGTTATCGATTTGGGATTTTGGATATAAAATAATGAAAATCAAAATTAGGAGTATTTAAGGGTAAATTAGGGGTATTTAAGTCATTTCACAACCCCTTTAACGACCACTTAACAGAAAATGTATGGAATGGTAAATTCGTTAAGTTTTAAATTTAGAAGGGTATATTTGTGCAAATATTTAGTAGAGTGGTATGTTTGTTAAATTACCATAGTAGAGGGGTATAAAATGCTATTAACCCTTATTTTTATACTTCATAGAAGTAGACAATACAAGTCAATAACTTATGTACTAACTTCTGTAAGTTAATAAATATATAATATGTATATTAATGTTATGTAAATTTGATGTTCCAAATGAGGAATGGTTAACATTCTATTTAGTGGTAGGACTTCAAACCATACTACCTACTTTAATGGGTCGTTTGCTTCATGGATTTGAAAAATGAGGATTTTGGTAAAACTTGGGTTTTGGAAAACCATGGATATGATGGATATGGTGGCATTATGGATTTGAACAAGTCTATTGTTTGCTTGATGGATTTGATTATGGACTTTGTTTGATTAGATTTGTGGATATTAAATACAAATTACCTTGTTACCCTTATTTAATTATATTTCTATATTATAATCCAAATCTTTCATTTGAAACTAATCCAAAACATAGAAAGAAATTTAAACTCTTTACCACTATGTGGATTAATAATTCAACTACAAATATAGAAATGTATTACAATTTGGCACTAATTAACAATTCATCTAATAATGTACGCAATATTATGTATCAATTGCAACCAATTGCTCACTTTATTGCTACAACTCATCATCTTCTTGCTAACTCACCGATGTGGAATCCGACAATCAATCAAATAATAATGCACAAGATGAGCATAAAGTATTTCTAGGTGAATCTAACAAATCACATATACATTCATATTTAGACAACATACGATATTACAAAACGAAATGATAAATTCTCATATTTATAAAATATGAAATTATAAGAGTTTACAGTTGCATGGCCATTGAATTAAAGTAGGACAAATTTGTAGTTAAAGAAATAATTAAGGGTAAAAAGGTAATTTACCATCATAAATTTCAATCCATCACCCAAATCCCACCTCAAGAGGTGGAACTTCCAAGTCCGTGGGGTCCACGGATTGGGGAAAGTTAATCTGCTAACTTGAAGATTCGTTAGCAGATACTAACTGATATCCAAAATACATGAACTAGTATCCAGGTACTAAAGTATCTAGAGAGCACAGGCTAGTATTCAAGATTTGCTAACTAATATCCACCATGAATCAACTATTATCCCAAATTCACAATGGCGTGCCACCGGTTGTGCCAGGTTCAACCGGTACCGGTCATAAAACCGGCGTGACACCACCGGTATGACCGGCATGATCGATATACGAATCTCTAAGTAAAATGACCTTATTTTAGAGAACTTAATTGATAAAAATTATTTTATTATTTATTTTATGAGTATAAAAGTTAAATATTGATGTTATTTGTTGTATTCAAGTATAAATGTTTAGATATTGACGTTAAATGTTATGTTTAAATATGAGTATTTATAATTTTATTTGTAATATTGACCGGCATGAACCGGCACAAACCGGTATGTGCCACCGGTTGAACCATTCCACTTGCTAAACCGGCACACTGGCATAAACCGGGTTGACAACCTTGCACAACACAGAATAGTATCCATACAATACATAATTAGTATCCAGATAACACATAAAGAGTATCCATATTGAATACTAGGTGGTTGATTGTGTATATTAGTTGGTATCTGCTATCAGGATACTAGTTTGTGATGTTTTGAATACTAGTCTGTGATATCTAGATACTTTAGTAAAATTGGCAAACTTGGATACAAATTCGTACATTTTGGATATTAGTTAGTATATACCATGGTTGTCACGCCGGCCGGCGTGCCACCGGTTGAACCTGGTTCAACCGATACCAGTCATAAAACCGGCGTGACACTACCGGTATGACCGGCATGATCGATATACGAATTTTTAAGTAAAATGACCTTATTTTAGCGAGTTTAATTGATAAAAATAATTTTATTATTTATTTTATGAGTATAAAAGTTAAATATTGATGTTATTTGTTGGATTCAAGTATAAATGTTTAAGTATTGACGTTAAATGTCATGTTTAAATATGAGTATTTATAATTTTATTTGTAATATTGACCGGCATGAACCGGCACAAACCGGTATGTGCCACCGGTCGAACCATTCCACTTGCTAAACCGGCACACTGGCATAAACCGGTTTGACAACCTTGGTATATACTAACAACTTGTGCAGTTAGCAGAATAACTAGGCTGCCACGGATTTGGAACCCCAAAAGAGGTGGGCCCCACAAATTCCATCTTTCTAATTAAGACAAACGATAGATTTCAGTTCAAGTCCAAGATGGATATATTTCCATGACCAAATTCATCACCAAAACCCTCAAGCAAACGACCCCTAAATAGTTTTCCCTTAACAGTTATATCCACTTTTTCCAACAATAATTAAAATTTTGATAGAAATTCTGTGTGATTCATTAAATTTTCTAAATTTTTTTAATCGTTTAACTTTAACTAAACATTTTCCCCTTAACACTTATATCCACTTTTTTCAACAATAATTACAGTTTTGCTAGAAATTATGTTAGATTTATTAAAATTTTATGATTTTGTTTCTCAATCATTTAAC